CTCCTTTCGGAACTGCCTTGCTAGGCTTGATCGAGGCAATATGTTTTGCTAACTTGGTCTGTGGCAATAGGGGCAGGAGTCCCGAATCAGACGGGAGCTGTGGGTGCGCCGCAAAGACCTTAGTTGCATACTTCCCCAGTTCATCCAGTTCGTTTGCAGGACTGAGCAGGAAGCCGTGCGCGTCCTTAAGCTGAGCTTTCAAAGCCGGTTTCCACGGCCGGAGGTGCTTAAGAGTCTGATATGCCAGGTGCTGATCGCCCTGGCTCAGAGCCTGATCAACCTCAGCAAGAAACCGTTTGGTCTGGTCCTTGCGAGCCTGCTTAACCGCCTGTTTATGCTGATCACACAGCCTCTGCCGGGCTTCATCCTCCGGCGATGGCTCCGCACTGGGGTGAGCATTGCTCCCACGCGCCGAGCGCCACATGCGTCTGGCAAGGCTCGTCTCCGGACTATCTGGCATTGCCACTGGGGTCTTAGGGAAAAACCTGGATGCGGCTTCGCCAAGGAGGCGATCCCATGACGCCGGCTGCATGTCCGGAGTGAGTCGTGCTGTAACCCACTCGAGCATGTGCTGAGCTGGCAGCGTGTTGTCCCTGACAGCCGCTTGCAGAGCAGCGGTGTCATAATGATGCTGCTGTATCTGAGGGGCTGGCAGGTTCCAGTGCCGAACTGGTTTGACAGCTGCACTGATGGGTAAGTGCCCGCCTTTCTTCCAGCTTCCAAGCGGGAAAGCTGCCAGCGGCGTAGAGTTTTTGGCAGCTCCTCCAGCAGAGACCTCCCTCGTAAGCACAAAGTCAATTTGAGTGCGCGTATCCCCTTGCTGAAACGTATGTGGCGGCTGAGGCCTCCACGTGTTGAGGGCAACCAAGCGATGATTAAGCAGAAAGTTGGTAAGCTCTGGCTCATCAGATCTCGGTTCCTGTGGGCTAATGATCTCTGGACCAACCAGCCTAGGCTGCTTTTGCAAGGAACTATTGAAATCTCCTGCCAGGATAAGCGTGTCCCTGTGCGGCACGCGTTGCACGCATCTGCTAAGAGCCTTCAGGACATGTGCTCTGTCCTGACGATTGGTCTGTACCTGCTTGGCCGGTGACCAGACGTGTTGATACACAGCAACCAGGTTGATGCGGGCCCCGTGCCAGTCAAACCTGACCTCCAGGGCTCTGCCTATGACATGTTCCTGCCAGCGCACACTTTTGGGCAGTATGTGTGGGGACAGGAAAACCATAACCCCGTCCGCGCGAGTTGTTGAGGGCTCCTTGCGGGGTGGGGTCATCTTATCGTCATTAGGCATTGCCTCTGCAGGTGACTGTTTATGGGCCTTGCCCCCGCGTTGCTTTCGTCTAGAGGCCTTCGGATCTGCAGCAGAAGCAGACGAGATGCAGTACCAGCCTGCAACACTAAATTCGGCCGTAGCCTGCCAGTGGGTCTCCTGCAGGACGAACACATCACAGGTGTGGTGTGCCTCAGTGGAGAGCCATGATTTGACTTCCGACCATTGTTGCTGGCCAAGATGGCCTGCATTCCAGGACAGTACTCGGAGAGGCCTGGTGGCCTGTCCTGCCCGAGATCGTGGTGCAAAAGACTGCTTGGAGCCCGGCTGCGGTGGGCAGTTGCCCATGCGCCTGAGAAGAGCTGGGGTCAGAACCTGACCTCGGTAAGAAACAGGCTGCTGGCTTGCAGCCACCTGTCGGCAAACATGCTTGAAAGAATTCTTCCTGATCTGAGAATAATTTTGTGAGTGCACTGGGAGCAGCGCCATCCGCTATTTCGTCACAAGGCAAGCCGAGTGACTCCCTCCACCACGCGGCTAGTGGAAACCCTACCGCCTGCCCAGTGGGCCCGTGTTGAGACAGGGTACTGGGTCCAGGAATTGGGACCTGGCGGCTCAGACGCAAACTGTTGGCACATGGCACATGGCTCAGCGTGAGGAACCAACCCTTAGTCGTTCGGAGAGAGGCCTGTTTGAGACCTCTAGCAACGCAAGGTTGGAATCCAGAGCCTGTTCGAAAGCCAGCGCGAAACTTCCAAAACGTCTGAGCCGTGGCGGCTAAAGGAGTAGTAGTAGTAGTAGTAGTAGTAGTAGTAGTACTACTACTACTCCTGCTGCTGCTGCTGCTACCACGACTACTCCTACTACCACTACCACTACCACCACCACGACTCCTACTACTACGTGACAAGTTGGCCTCGCGAAAATGGACGGATCTCCTGGAGCTGAATGAGATCCAAATGTATCTCCAGCACCATTGTCCGTTGTGTTATCAGTGGCTGGCGACGGCCACCAGTATTAAGTATCATCTCACGATGCAGCATCCTGAGTGGAAAGAGTGTCAACCTGCGACCCTCAAGCTCCTCACTGGCTTCAGGCGGCACACAGTGGTTCCATGTCGATACTGTCACCAGCGAAACATCAATAAAGATCGTCATTGGAAACAATGTCATGTCTTGCATATCTGTGCTTGTCTGGCAGCTCATCATGACCGTAGCTGCGGATCCCATGGAGCTGGACGAGCAGGAGCGACAATTTTGGGCACAGGTCGGCCCTGTCAAACGGGAACAGGAGACGAACAAGGAGACAGCGGCGCCAGCGGACATGTCCAAGAGGCAACGACATGGCCCACAGGACCGGAGCAAAGGCAAGAGCAAGGGAGCCAAAGGCAAAGGCAAGGGCAAGGCACACTCGGGTCTACCCAGCTCGGGCAGTGCACCACAGGCGGCGGGCTACACGGGTGGCTTCGGAAATCATCTTCCCAATCCATGGGCCCAGACACAGGATCTTCAACATCCTGGCGGCCCTCACCAGGAGTGGATGGAACATCGTGTGAACAAGCTTGCACAGCTAGGAGCAAGTCATCTCGGCCATCCGTCAGGATATGGTGATCTACCTCTTCGTTCGTCCAGGAGCGGAGGGCATGGTGCCAGTGTTGTGCGATGCAGCGGCGGAGAAGTGGAGACGGATGAAACAGGAGGAGCCGGAGAAAATCAGCTTTTTCTTGAAGCTGGCTATGTTCAAGCAAGTGCTGATCTCGCTGCATCAGAGGCTGACCGGCACCGTGGCGGACGAGGAGGCTATGGCGCGGGCCAAAGCCTTGAACTGGATCGACGATCAGAAGCACTTGCGGCATCTTGTCTGGAGTCCAACACAACAGCGCCTGGAGATCGACAATTCACTTCGTCAAATTCCAGCGGAGGACCAATTGGCCCAGCTTGTGCAGATGAGAAAGGCAGTCACGGAGGAGACCCTTGTACGATTCAAGTCGATGAAGAAGCTCTCCACGGAAGTGACCTCGGACTGGATCCAGTTCCAACTTTGTCTCTCCCTCCGACCGGAGAGGGGTGCTATGTGGAGCGCGCTGAATCAGTGGATCGGGCGAGCATCCTGGCACATGCTGGGGTGCAGGCTCAGACGAGATCGCCCGAACTACGATACTCTGGTTCAGGAGGTATGGCAGCACCAACAGCAGATGTAGGTGTGAAGCCCAGTCTCAAAGCTGTTCTCAGCCTGGTTCTTCACAATCCTTCCAACTTGTGCTACCTACACTCTACTATATTTGCTTTCTACAGGACCATCCTGCAGGCGCGACTCCACGATGCCCGTATACTGCCTCCAGCGCAGGTTCTTACCATGTTGCGCCCGCTAGCCAACGCCTCTTGTGATGTGCCTGTTCAGGTCCTGCACGCTCTGCCGTGGCTTATGATGCTCCAAGCTTGGCCGCATGTTCACAGGCAGCATGATGCTGCGGAGCTGGTGATGTATCTCTTGCCTAGGCTCTGGCATACTGGGTTCAATGGTGGTTGGGAGGCTCGGAAATAAGCGCCAGAGGGCATTGTGAGACTTGACGCTGGGCCTGCCAATGTCCCGATTCCTGTCGTGCCGGCTGCAGGTCGTACTTTGGATCTTCAGGACTCCATTGATGGGTGGAGTGCTCAAGTGACGGCACGGTGTGCACTCAAAAGCCCAGCGTCGCTGTTATGCACTCAACTTCAGCGATTTGCTTCCAATGAGGGGGCTCTGAGCAGAGATGTGAGACCACTGGTGGTGCCCTCAGACTATGTTGGCATGCCCATCTTTGAGGCAACGGATTTTATGAGAGTCTGGTCTGCACCTTATCAGGTCGTGGCTATGCAACTTCACTACGGTGATACTCCTGACTCGGGGCATTATCGGACCATTCTCAGGGGACAGACTCTGTTTAGAGGAGAAAATCAGTGGATTACGGATGATTCTTGCGCTGCCAAGCCTGTTCAACATGAGCACGATGGACAGATCTATATTTTGTGGATGCGCCAGGTTTATCTGCGTGAAGCCTGATGCTAAGCCGAGTGTAGTTTCTAGTGGATGGAGCTGGCCCGTGCCCTCCAGAACCCATAAGAGGTTCCAGCAACCAGAAAACCTGGTTGTTATCAGCTCGCCAGGCGAACTCGAATCTTCGCTGCGCGGGGAATGAATACTTCTACTGCGACTGCGACAGTGCCTGCTACGACGACGACTGCTAACAAAAAGTTCTAACAACAATAATCTCGGCAGTATTGGTCATCATCGCCGTCATTATCATCACCATCGTCACTATAATCGTCATCATCGTCAGTATCATCATCACCATCGTCAGTATCATCAGTTCCTTCATCCTTTATCATCACCAGCTTCATCCCCATCATCGTCACCATCTTCACCACCATCATACTGTTTTGATGTAGCATCTGTCAACTACTTTGGATGGCTTCGGCCTCTGCTTCAAGGTAACTCCACGCCTCGAGCTCTGCTCTCCCGGAGTCTGTTACAAAACCTATTCCAATGTAAAAATGTAGTTATCATTATAACATCAAATGTAATGTCTTTACAGTTACCGATTTAGCGGTTCATCTTTATTTTGACTTCCGAGAGCTTGACCTTTGCAATAGTTTGGGATGGGTTCATGGCACAGGGTGGAAGCCCAAAACCGTAGTCCCGACCCTTGCAAGCCCTCGAGCGATCTAGCAATCTGGCCGCCGCCGTCCTAGAGTAATCGCCATAATGAAGCCGACAATGAAGGCGAATATCTTCTCCTGGGCTTGAGAGCCCCCAGAGCCATCCATGAACAACTACATCTAAGAGACCAGAAGGGAGTTTAGGGTTCCGGGTTTAGGGTCATGAAGCAAAATGAAAAGGATTCCTAAACCCAAAATCCTAAAACCCTAAACAGAAAAGAGTTCAAGGTTGAGGGTTTAGGATGCCTTATAGGAACCCCTATTACAGGATCCCTTAAAGGAACAAAGGATTCCAAACTTCCATCCAGCTTCAGCGAGGCCTGGGGCGTCGTCGATCATCTTGTTCGGGATCCTCCAAACCGAGAAGCCAAAGTCTGTGGTCCAATATGGGAGTTTCCAAAAATTAGGGGTTACGTGTTTTGGGGTCCTTTAAGGGTTCCTCTCAAGGGTCTATAAGGGGTTTAGAGTTAGAGTTTCCGAAGATTACGGGTACCTTATTTTGGGGTCCTTATAATAAGGATCCTGCGTTTTAGAGTACTGTATTAGGGTCCTCTATCTCCGGAAACTCCCATATGTAATGTATAGCAAGTTTCATGTACAATATAGTATCATATATATATATATATATGTGTGTATATGAGTATGTGCGTAAGTATGTATGTATGTGTATAGAGGCTAGGGCTCGAATGGCCGCAGCAGCGCGGAACTATCGGTAGCCCCAGTGCCATGGAAGGCACGCCTTCGCCTGATGCCGCGCTTGCGAGGCGGCATGCAGATCTTTGACAAGACCCTGACAGGCAAGACGATTACGTTGGACGTTGAGGCCAGTGGCACGTTCGACAAAGTCAATGCGAAGTCCCAAATTAAGGCAGACATCCCGCCCGACCAGCAGCACCTGATCTTTGCTGGCAGGCAGTTTGAGTGCGGCCGTACTCTTTCGGATTACAACCTGCAGAAGGAATCGACCCTTCACTTGGCGCCGCACATGCGAGGCGGCATACAGATCTTTTTCAAGACCCTGACGCTCACCTTGGACGTTGAGGCCAGTGGCACGTTCGACAGTGTCAAGGCGCAGTCCCAAGATAAGGCAGGGCCTACTGGGAATGAGAAGCCTTGCGTCGGCAGCTTCCTCAACGAGTACTTTGGGGCGCTCGGCGCTGTGACGGCCTGCTGGTGCTTACAAGCTGGTCATGTCTACTTACATGGACTCTTCATCAAACATACTACCCCGGAGATTGCTTTCAGCAGAAGTCTCATCTTCAATGCTTTTGTTCTGTGCGTCTTTGACGTGTTTTGCGTCAACGGGTTCGTCAAGCAGGCAGACTCCGTCCAGAAGAGTGGCGGAACTTGTGAGGGCTGTGCTGGCATCGGCCATAACGGCGAGGATGTAGCATGTTCTCTGAGCGTGGTCGCTGCGGATGCTGATTTAGTCAATGTGGGAGCTGGCCTGGGGACAACCATCGCCGGCTTCTGCATGCTGGTTGGCATCTGTTGGGAGAAAGTTTATGAAACTCAGCCTTCGAGAAGGAGCCAGACAGTGTTTTGCATAGCGGAAGCCGCGTACATTGCCACTATGCTTTTCTTGAGTACGGCTCACAGTCAGTGCACTTCATATCGAGTGTGAAGGCACTTCTATGAACATGCGGGCATGGCCATTTGAATACGCCATGCGGGGCCTGAAGCTTGCAGTTTGCCTCTCTGCCCCATGGGGAACAAGGCTCAAGCTTTTAGCGTTTCTGTTATGATGTCAATATATCACCTCCAAAGAAGGTGTTCCGGCATCTCGGGTATGTCGTTACATAGTTGTGTTGTGCAGGGATTGCCTCATTCATACCCATGAGGAATATCCTGCGCAGTTGTTGGCCTGCTTCGCATTGCACGTTGAAGCTTCATTTCGACTTCTTGTGCAGCTCATCCGCACGTTATGGTGCGGCATCCTTTTGATTTTGGGTGTGAAGTGTTGCTAGTGCTACGGTTTTTCAGCTCTGTGCTACCGGTTTCATGCACTGCATCTTGCACACCTCACTGTGCGATCGCCCAGATTACTGCACTGCGCACTGCTGAGTAGTTCGCGAGCGCAAACTGGGGATTGTTACACTTCATTTTAATTAATGCACGCCAAAGGGCTGCAGCCTAACAGGAGCCTGTGCCCCAAATGCGAGAAATGCGAGTATAGAGGCAGCTGCATAGAGGTATACATATACAGATATGTATATATGTGATGTTACAAGGCTTGCATTTGCACAGAGCCGCTCTTGGATTCGACGGCTTGGAGCTTAAGTGCCTCGATTCCTCGGCAGCTTAAGACTTCCGCTGCAGAGTTTGGGGTCCTTTAAGGGTTCCTTAAAGGGTCTATAAAGGGTTTAGGGTTTAGAGTTAGAGTTTCCGAAGATTAGGGGTACCTTATTTTGGAGTCCTAGATTCGGCGAGATCCTACAACCTGCCAATTCCTCTTGCCTAATTCAGAGCTCTATCACTTCGACAGGTTTCTTGGGTTAGGCGGTCGTAGATTTACATTGGGACTACACGTGGATGATTCTTGAATCTACCCAGACCCTTACATGAAACCACCCAGACTGTGTGAAGGCTATGAACAAGAGTCTGGTTGCAAGGCATCGGGTGTTAGTTGCGTTTACAAATCAGGGCGGATCTCTGGGGCGCTTTGATTGGTGGGGCTTTTGGGTTTGCAGGTTTAGGAATAATTTCTATAGATTCGGGGTCTTCCAGCTTTGGACTGCAGGTTTTTCAAGAAGTAAGTGGAAGGATCTGGCAAGTTGGCTTATTGCTCGGAAACAATGCAACACCGAGCCGTTGACCTAGTCTCGAAAAAGCCTAGGCCTAAACTAGGCCTGAAACACGAAACTTAACACGGGAAGACGGCGAAGTCCAGCAGTGGAAATCTAAATGTCTTAAGGGCTTGCAATGCGTTCTGGAGGAGAGCTCGCTGCCTTCGGGTTTCAGGCTTATGGGTGGGTCAGGGCTTCAGTTTTTGGCTGCGGGCATCTAGTCCAGGGGTTTCAGGGTGCCTCAGCTTAGGATTTGGGTTTCGGGTGTAGAGTTTAGGGTTTAATATACTGAACTTAGAACCCCAGCAACAATTTCAATTTTTGCTGTTTCTTAGGGATTATAATACCAAACAATTACAGATTACTTCTAAGTACCCCTACGGAAAGAGAGGCCGGGGCTAAAGGTAGCATACTCTTGGTTCAGTGTTGGCTTGCGCGATATGGAAGTTGCGGAGAGGAATTCGGGTGAATACAAAGCAGAGATAGTAGCATCATTACTAGGATACATACTACAGACGTCCAAGGAACCGCCCAGAACGGACCCTTAACCCCCAAAACTCCCCCTAAACCCCACTCCAAGTGCTGAATCCTTAAAGCATTGAGCCGGGAAGCTTCATGGCATTGTCCATCAAAGCTTTCGAATAGGTCATCTCAATCTCGCCCCAGATGTTCAGCCGGATGTACCTTGTAAAATGACTCATAAGGACTCATAAGACTGATTGAAAAGGCCTGTGGAACCATAATACTAGGAAGCCCTCTACAGTCTTGCTGGACCCCGAAGCCTAAGTTTGTATGCGTTGGCGCAAGTCAAACGAAGACCTTCTAAGCTGAGGTATGCGCCAGCCAATGGAACCACCTCACATCATACTCTTGTGTACCTTTAACTGTACTACAAGCTGTCGTCTCTCGACTTATATTGTAATCGATTCTCGTCCGACAAGTCTTTCACAAGAGAGGAAGCACCTCCCGGCGGCTCACGGCAAGTGAGCATGTTATATAACCGGGTCACCTTGCGCAGGAGCCCGACTTACGCATGGAGGCTTGTAAACACAATGTTCTAGAAGGCCATCTCTGGGGTCTACAGGGGGCTCTGTAGGAGGTCTACGTGCAAGGGCTCCTAGCACCATCTGCGCGAGAGATACGAGGGTGGACAACGGATCGCGAAGATGTACTTTGATTATTATTATTATTACCATTATTACTATTATTACTATTATTATATTATTATTGTTGTTGAATTCATTTGGGCTTGTAATCTGCGAACAAACAATTTCGTGACAAGCTGCCTTGAGCAGGAAGGAGCAAGACTGTGTTTGTGCTCCCATCGCTTGGCGAAGCCATCGACCAGACAACCCTACCCTAAACCCTAAGCCAATAAACAGAAATTGCTTGTCATTGCTTGCGTTGAATCCCCTAAACCGTCAATTTCAAGCCCAACCCAGCCCAAAACCAGGGTCGAGTCACAAAACTCCCCCAAATTCATATCAGGTTCCAGTCGAGTCACATCAATGTCTGGTTTCAATCGCAAGATTTTCCCCCTCTCAAAACCTCCCCCCCCCCCTAGCCCTCCAGCCCCAGCCTCCCGGCTCGCCAACTAAACCAAGCAGATTCATAAAGGACACCTGTCAACACGTTTCGGTCAAAACTTATTGGCACTCAAACCCTTCACAATTTCTATATATATATATATATATATATATATAACCCTAAACCCCTTAACCCACTGATCCGTGAAACCCAAAAGGCCCAAACCCTACCATCCGGGAGAAGAGAACATCAAGCACACTGCACAACCCTCAACCCGAAATCCTAAACCCCCAATCTCGAATCCCCAGACCCTAAACTGTAGGCGGGATAGACGGACAAATAGACAAATAGGTAGATAGCTAGATAGCAGACAAGTAGTAGATAGAGAGGTAAATAGAAATGCAAATAATCAGACATTTACGATTCCCGAGTCCAATGCAACCACGACCACACACCCAAGGAGATCACCACGCCAGCGAACAGAAGTACCAGACCGATCCTCATGCTGTCGCTTCTTCGCTTAACCGGTTCAGGGGGCTTTCGGGTTTCAGAAAGTCGGCTTAGAGCTTCGAACTTTCAGATTTAGGATCAGGTGTTGAAGCTTACCGTGGTCGGTGCTCGGGGTCAAGATATCGCCTCCGCTCCACTCCTCCTCCAGCGGGTGGTATGGTTCTCGGGTTTAGGGTTGGGCTAGGAATACTAATGTGCTCCGATGGATTTAAGGGAAATTCAGGACCTTCCTACGACTGCATCAGTCACCGCTTTCAGAGGACTTGGTACATGTCGCTTGGGACTTTGGATTTGTCCCAGCGGAAAGTAAAAATCCAGTCCAGCTGCGCGCTTCCCAAAGCAGGGTTAGGGTTTAGGGTTCAGGGGTTGGCGATTGTCTTGTTGTCGCCTGCAAGGATTTGTCAGCTGCATGTGGCCGTACAGCTCATGACAAACCCGCTAAACCGCGCGATGTCGACAAGCGGAAAATCTCAACTCTAGTGGCACTCAGGCCTTACCCAGGAGGCTCTTAGGACATCATTTCATTGCATCTGCATCACCCAGCGGCATTCAGTATAGTACTAGTACAGTATGGTACGAGTATTTCACGAAACCATCTTGCCTCAGCATTGCACTAATACTATATACGTACACAGATACGATTGTAGAACCATATAAAAACGGCTGGTCCGATTTCAGGACGTCTGCGGTTTCGGGGCAAGGTTTGAGCAACTCTGCTCGGACAAGCTTGAAACTGAGTCGGGCGCTGGTCGGTTGTCGCCAGAACCGCAGCAAGTCCAGAATCGCCCTTCGGCGCGAGGTAGCTTGAGGCAAAGGCTGCTCCTTCAGGAAACGAGAATGACGCAGCCTGCGTTCGCTTCTGCTCTGCTGCGACTGCTGCTACCGACGATAGAGAAGCCTAGCATTGACAATGGTGGTAGTAGTTCTGGTAGCAGTAGCAGCAGCAGTAGTAGTAGAAGCCGTAGTAGTAGTAGCTGCAGTAATAGTAGTAATAGTAGTAGTAGTAGTAGTAGTAGTGGTAATAGTAGTAGTAGTAGTAGTAGTAGTAGTAGTAGTAGTAGTAGTAGTAGTAGTAGTAGTAGTCGTAGTCGAAATAGCAGTAGCAGCAGTAGTGCATATCATGCAAATCTTGGCAAGTGTATATTCAAGCATATTCTTCTTGTGCTTGTTACGGCAAGTACTACTTGGAAGTTCATGGGTAGTTATAAGCAGGGTTATCAGTAGGGTAGCTATACTTATAACCCATATTAGGGGACTTTTATGACTACCCATGAACCCTAAACCCTAAACCCTAAACCCAAAACCCTAAACCCTCCAAGTGCCCCCGCAAAGCTCCTAGAGCCACGTTTTGGATCACCTCGACTTTGTCTGGCTCAGCTCGTCGCGACACCGCCACAGATCTACTCCGAAGAGAAGATGCAGCAAAGGCCTTCGAAGGGAGAGGACAGGGAGCTTTGGAGTTTGGGGCGCAGCGGTTGCAGCGTCCACGCAGCGGGGATGTTCAGCCTTTTTTTCGGAGCCAGCAATGAATGCCCAAAATTTATGAGAAGCTCTGTTTTCAGTACAGTCTTATCTCTATGACTGGGAATTGCTTCTGAACTGTGCATGCGAGGTTTGGACTGGAAATCCGAAAACACATAGATCCAAAGCTTCATCCCCCCGAACTCAAACTCCGGGATAGACTTCAACCCTAAACTTTAAACCCTCAAAGTCCTAAGCCGTAAACCTCAAAACCCCAAACTCACCTGAACCTTCAACCCTCAACCCTGTGCCCCCAACCCCGAGCTATATCTTTGTAGCCTCGTGTGTGACTTGTACGGCCAAGCGTCCTGCGCTAGGCATAGGCCAGAAGAGACCACGGCCAGTAGCCTTGAGGTGCTGTGGTTATGGGGTATGAGGGCTCGGCTTATTGTGTAGAGTTTAGGGCATGCTAAGGGCTTGGGTGCAGGGCTTAAGAATTGGAGGTTGATGGCGTAGGGCTCAGGCCTACAGGATCAGGCTTCCTGGGACGGTCCCTTGGGGGTTTCAAGCGCCGTGGTGCGAAGACAGACCGGTAAACGGCAAAGCCTTGAACATGATGGCCATGTAGCCAGCCCAGCGTTCTTCTTCTGCGGTGGTATTGCTTGCCGCGTTGCTCAGGAGAATGGTCCACCATCCTGGCACGATGCTCAAATTCAAGAAGCCTCTGAAATCACCCTGGGTACAACCCTAGACCCTAAACCCCTAAATCCTAGACCCCTAAACCATTAAACCATCCTAAACCCCTAAACCTCTAAACCCCTAAACCCTATTACCGTACAACACCACACTGCATACGTGCGAGGGACACATGTAAAGCACCGGGGAGCCCTCGAGACGAAAGCTCTAAGAATCAGAATACGGTTTGGGGGGTATGTTATACTGGTTTAGGGTTTAGGGTTTAAGGTTTAGGGTTTAAGGTTTAGGGAGTTCTAATAAGGAACCCCCGAAACCCTATTCCAATTATTAAGGCCCCTACATTCTCAGGATGAGGAACTGCGGAACTGCGGCCGCCCGTTCAGATCCAGGCCGTGGACTTTGGGTTTGACATTGGGCTGCAGTCCTAGGTAGCATTAGGGAGACCCCTTAAAGGGGACCCTTCGTAACCCTACTTCTGGCTCTCTTCAAAGGGACCTTATTTAGAGGGTCTAAACCCAAGGGTCCCCTAATCCTAACTTCTAGTTACCATCATAGGGACCTAGAGTAAATAATATGGTTTCCATATTATGGTCATTTACTAGGTGGGGCTTTTAAAGCCTTTGAAAAATATTAGTAAATAAGATCCTCTTAAGCCCAATAGGGGAAATATAAAATGTCCCAAAGCCCTACCTAGTTAACAAGAACCCGGTTTAGGCCTCTTATCTGTCAGAGCCATGGCGTAGTTTTCGGGGCAATGGCAGCACGGCCAGGTCGACGCCGGGCTTTTCTGAAAATGAGGGGCCTGGGGACTATTTCTTAAAAAGGAAGCTTAGTAAGGTAGCCCCAGAGGTAACCCGCAATCCAGAAATCCAGGCAAGTTGAAGATCCGCCCTGTTGCTACATGCTTGTCGTGCTTTGTAAGCAGGAGTTACGAGTTGGCTCCTCGCTTGAAACGCAGTCTTTTTACAAACGGCTCTCGCAAAGATCCGAGTTTGAGCGCGAAGAAAGAGCTGCAGAGTACAGCTCCAATTGACCAAGCAACCTGATGTCGAAAGCAGAACAGATTTCCTTCCGTCTGGATTCCGTGTTGTTCCTATTCTACCGGTGTTTGTTGCTGCTGCTGCCACTTCTTTGTTGACCCTCGTAGCATCATCACTATACTATACTAATGCAGCTACTCCTGCTGATAAGCCTTATCATTGTGGCTGCGAGGGTTGGGATACTGATTGTTTCATCCCCCCTCATTTCTATTTTCTATCTTGCTCAAAACTGGGCCTCAAGTTTCGGGGGAAAGTGTGGGGGAATCTTTGTTGAGGGTAATAAGTCGGGACCTTGGGTTGAGGGTCTGAGGCTCTGAGCGTGAAACCCTCTTTGCATACTTGACTGCTGAGCCGACTGCCCGCAAGTCCGACCCATTGACGTCGCCCGGGAGATTTGACATCCTGAAACTGAACGACAACAACCCATCTCAGGATATGAACGTCCCAAAAAGATATTGTGCAGAATACATCTGTCCAAGAAATCCCAAACGCCGCAGTTCACTGCGAGCACTGTTGACTTTCGTCACCTCCCGTTTTCTTCTCGCATGGCATCTGGACTCTACTGTTTTTGCCACTCTGACTTTTGCCAGGTTAATGTGTGCTAGGAGGGCTGATGGCGGATCTCCTGAAACACACCACGGCTTCGGGTTGAGGGCTCAAGTCATGTACCGACAAAGCCTACCGACACTCAGGCCGAGGCTGCGCCGGCTTTAGGTACGGTACTAGCACTGTTACCACCACTGCGACGACAACGATTTCTAGAAGCTTTTCCTGCCCGGCCCACGACCTCTACTAATAGTACTACTACCACCACCTCTACCACCTACCACCACCACCGCCGCCACCGCCAGCGGCACCACTTCTACTACTACTACTACTACTACTACTACTACTACTACTACTACTACTACTCCTGCTACTACTACTACTACTACTACTACTACTACTACTGCTGCTGCTGCTGCTGCTGCTGCTGCTGCTGCTACCGCTGCTACCGCTGCTACTACTACTACTACTGCTACTACTACTACTACTGCTGCTACTACTACTACTACTACTACTGCTACTGCTGCTACTACTGCCACTACCACTCCTACGAACAACGGGAAAAAACAGCAGGACCCGTGGCAGGAGGAGGTCCCCATCGTTCCAAGGGCCTGACATCCGCGTATCGTGGATGAGCAGCACCGGGCATGCAGAGAATTCGGAAGTAACTCTGCGCTAAACCCTAGCCCTAAATCCCCAAGCCCAGATCCTAGTTTCAAGCTGTAGGTTCATAGTATTGCATACCTAGAACAGTGTTTTACCACGCCTGTTTGAGTGCACCGTCCTTCTCTCTGGATCCTATACCTCAAAGTAACCAGCTGAAAGAAGGGCCGTCTCATGTGTAGCTCAGGAAGAGCATGACCAGCCAAAGCCAAGAGCCCTCGAGGAATTGGGGTTTTTGGGTATGGCTCGGGTCGGTTTAGGGCATGGGGTGGGTGGGGGAAGTGACGTCCACTTCGCCACCATCCCCGTGAACATCATCACTATGCAGGCCAACCCCCTGGTAAGAGCAGTTCTTTTCACATCATCAACATGTGCATCATCATCACCACCATAATAATCATGGCTTTTCCTTTATGTTCCGTTTCAATACTCCAATCTTATCCAAAGCAGCTGTCGACAGACCTTAGTCGGTTGCTAGACACCAAGAATAAGAAGAAACGTGTGAAAAAAAAACCCGGCTGCACAACTTTACTCTCCTGCTGGGGCCAGTGTTTTCGTGCTTCGACACACAAAACCCTGGTAGTCACTCTACTGTCAAAGCATAACAAACCTTTTGGATAAAAAAGCGCACCCGACCCCCACGTTTTTTGTTGTTCTTGCAAATCTTACGCCCCCATGGACGATGCCAAAACCCCATGGTCATTATGGCGCGCGCTACCTTTAGTTGTTTCAGGGTTTGAGGCTTCTGTTTGGTCTTTGAGATTTAGGGTTTGCGGTTTTTGTGGGTTGCAGGGTGGGCTTTGGGGTTGGTGTCTGCTAGTCTTCGCGAATCCTTGTAAAAAGCCTGGCTCTAGGCTGGAGGCTGTTAATGTGGTCATTTGCTGTTCCGAGAGCAGGGTGGCAAAGCATTGTCCGAAGTCCTTGTAACCCTAAACCCTAAAACTAAACCCCAAACCAACTAAACTCGTTGTGCATCTGTCGCTGTAGCTGTTGCCCTTAGGATATGGGTGCTTGTCAAAATTAGGGTCCCTTTTTGGGTACCCTAAATACTAGGTGCCGTATTAAAATAAGGACCCAAAGAGGGACCCTAATTTTGACAGCCACCCATATATGGAGGGACAGAGATGGTCCACAGGATATACAGTAAACCCCATAAAGTTGGAAACCGGATTGAGGCCAAATAGTGCTGGGATTCCCTATACATTCCTCTTAAATATTGAGGCCATGGGGTTTCCCAACTTTTGGGCTTCTACTGTAGGGTTTCAGCGATTCCTATCGAAGCCACCCGAAACCCATTCTGCGAACACCCCAAACTCTGGACCCCAAACCCCCAAAAACTGAACCCCAAACCAACTTGAACGCAGAATCTCCAGAACTGCTAAGCCCCAAGAGTTGAAAAATAAACATGGCCTTGAAGCGTAGATAAGCCTAGATCCTAAATCCCTAAACCCCTAGAGCCCTCGTCGGTATAGACCCGAAGCAGTCGGACTCTTAGAACAACGATCCCACCGGCTTCAACAAAAAGGCGTCATTGATGTTGTGACAACCTCGCCTATACTACACTTAGGTGGTTGTCAATATTAGGGTCCCTTTTTGGGCCCCTATTATGGTACGGCACCTAATACTTGGAGTAACCCAAAAAGGGACCCTAATTTTGACAACCACCCACTTCGAAGTCTGACAGTGCCTTGCCTGTGTCCAGGACGGAGCACAGTTGGTGATGGGATCGATCCGGTCTTCCTGGGGTTCATCCAAGTTTTTATCGCTCGGGGTTCACGATGGTTCGAGGTTCAAGTGCTTCGGATTCATGGGTTAGGGGCCTAGGGTTTCGCTTTCGGGCCTAAGCCTTAGAGCTCCCTTCCCAACCAAGCTTTGCATACCTGTCTAAACGGGACGTTGCAGAACTCTGCTTTGCCCCATTCATCCTCCAGCCTGGCTCTCCTTTAACATCAATTTAGGATTTAGGTTAGGGTTTAGGGTTTAGGGGTTTAGTTAGACGTGTGTGCGTGGAGGCGGCGCGGGCGAGCTCAAGCTTCGCAGATGGGGCTCTTTCCCGGGAAGCCGAACTCCAGGACTTCTTTCCAAAAGACCTTAAACTCTCTTCTTCAACAACCGGGCCCAAAAAAGTTCAAACTTTCAATGATAGAGCTAATATATAAGGCCAAAAAGTTTAAAGTTCCCCCGTTCACTATCTAAGTAAACCCTCGAACATACCCCGAAAGCCTTTAACCCTAAACTTTAAACCGCTTCCAACTTGCATCCGAAGCTACGGAATGCCTCAGGGAACCTTGAAGGAATCCTTGAGGAACTCCTAAAATCCAGCAGCCTAAACCCGAAGCCCTAAACCCCAGCCGAAGCTGCGAAATGCGTGACCCAGTAGTGCTCCGACAACTCCAAGGTCTTCGGCTTGCGGATCAGAACTCGCACCTGGCTGGTTGTTTTCTCAAGAAAACCCTAAACCCTAAATCTCTAAACCCTGATTTAAGTTACCATAATAATGAGAATCTATAGTAAATAAGTAACTTCATTTAAGCTACCATAATAGGGACCTGTAGCAAATGATCTGGTTTCCTTTGTGGTAGCTTCACCTCAGCTCCCTAAAGAGAAGATCGGCAAACAGGAAGGCATATTCTTTTTACGGGAACCCTGGCGTTCCCCCACGGGGTCCTGTAAGGGTTTCATAAGGGCTTAAGGTTCTAATTTTAGGTCTTGGGGCTTCAGGGTTGAGAAAAACAGACATCCGTTGGGAAGTCTTGGGTTTCACTTCTGGGATCAGATCCGTTTCAACAGGCATTCCCTGGAATGCCGCAATCTATTTGCTCAACCCGAACAAACGACCCCGAACTTGAAGCTCGAAACCCTAAACCCTGCAAACCCCAGCTCCGTAACTCCAGAAAACGACGCCGGGCAGGCCGCCAGTCCGTGGATCCTGGTTCCGGACTCGATTCCCATGGCTTGGGCAGGGACCATGATACCTGAGTACAGCTTGAAGATGTCCGGTTTGAAACAGTCTTTTTCGGCTTTTAGAGCTTAAGTCTGAGGGTTTAATCGTTTCGGGGTTGGAATTCTGCGGCTCCAGGTTAAGAACATAGTGCTTAAGGCTTTAGGGGTTTCAGGCTTGCTCAGCGCTCTTGGCTTCGGGAGCTTGAAGCCTAGGACCAAGTGCCTCTTCGGCTTCAGACCTCAGGCCCTGGGAGGCCGTGGTGTAAAAATGCCTAAACCTCGAACATAGGGCCGTAACAGTTGGAGCACGTAATTATCAGAGACATTTATTCAAACCCCTCTATTCAATCCAAACCCACAAAAGCCCTACGTCAAGAGGGGCTGTCTTCCTCCCAAGCGCTGCGACAAAGCGACTGTCCAAGGAGATGTTGTAGACCTCCTCATCGCAGCCTGAGGCAGTGGCGGCGGCAACATAGCAGAGTAGCAGTCGCAGTATCAGTAGCAGTCGCAGTGGTGGTGGTGGTGGTGGTGGTGGTGGTGGTAGTAGTGGCAGTAGCGGCCGTAGTAGTAGTAGTAGTAGTAGCAGCAGTAGCAGTAGCAGTAGCAGTAGCAGTAGCAGTAGCAGTAGCAGCAGTAGTAGTGGTGGTGGTGGTAGCAGTAGTCGTGGTGGTGGTGGTGGTGGTAGCAGTAGTCGTGGTGGTAGTGGTAGTGGTAATGGTAGCGGCAGTTGTAGTGGTAGTGGCAGTAGCAGTAGCAGCAGCAGTAGCAGTAGCAGTAGCACTAGGAAGTAGCAGTGGCAACCTGGTAGTAGTAGTGGTAGTGTAATTAAGTGGTAGTGGTGGTGCTAGTAATACCGTGGTGGTGGTGCTCGTGCCTGTTGTGGCTCTGGCTGCGGCTGTTGTTTTTGCTGTTGTTTGGAGACTTGTACAGTAAAAGCCAGAAAGTTGGAATATCATTATCCTAAGCCCTTTATGGTAAATTATAGGGGATCCTACCATTAATCCATATTCCAACTTTCTGGAGTTCCCTTTAAGGCGAGGAGTAGTTTCGCCCCAAGACGAGCATCCTCGCGCTTCGTGCGAATGAATGAAATCTGAGACCTCAGGACCTTCGGCGTGGGGGGTTGCCGGACAGCTCACCTATAATGGTAATAATAATAATAAGAGTAATAATAGTAATAATAGTAATAATAGTAATAATAGTAATAATAGTAATAATAGTAATAATAGTAACAATAGTAATAATAGTAAAATGGCAATAATCGTAATAATAGTAATAATGGTGATAATAACCCAAAATCGATACCCAGTAAACTCTCAAGCCTCTCAAACATCAAAAAGCCGCGCACCTTCATGCCCCTTGCCGCACATCCCCACACCGTGCGCTGCAACTCGATCTTCGTGCGCATCAAGCAGCATTGGGCGCTGTTGCTTTTGGTTTAATTTTTCAAGGTGTTGCTGGGTTCACAGGTTTGCCGACAGCTTCATGCTGCACGATTTTGGACTGAACCTTAAACCTGAAGACTCCGTCCGTGAAGCCTACACCCTATGAAAGTTGTATTGTGGAGATTGGTAAGCTCAGTCAAGGAAACCCATGTAACAGTTCCGAGGCAGCGACACAGGATCTGGTTTGAGGAGTCAAGCGGGACCACGGATGCTAAAGCCTCGGGCAGAAAGCTTGGAGGCTCATGGGTAGTTCTAAGTAGGGTTATAAGTGTTCATATAGGGGTTATAAGTATAGATTCCCTACTTATCACCCTACCTATAAATACCCACGAACCTCCAAGTAAGTCCTACAATCCGAAACCGTGCTTACCCCAGCCTGAAACCCTAGATCCAATGCAAGCTAATCGACTGAAGGATCCTTCAGCACCATCATGCGATGCGATAGGGTTTAGGTTAGAAGCTGCCCCCACCCTGTAATAGTGACAAGCTGCCCCCACCCTGTAATAGTGACTATAAGGATTATATATATATATGATTATATTAGGGCCCTATTATTATATTCCTATTATGCCACTATTACAGGGTGGGGGCAGCTTCTAAGGTTTAGGGTTTAGGGTTCCTAAACCCTAAACCCAAGGAAAGTCCACGAGCAAAAAGCTGCAGCCTGTAGCAACAGTTCAAGAGACAGACTAGGGTACCGGTCTTTGGCTTCGCGCTTCTGCGTTATGACAGCCAAACTTGGAGGTTCATGGGTAGTTAAAAGTAGGGTTATAAGTCCCCTAATATGGGTTTTAAGTATAGTTACCCTACTTATAGCCCTACTTATAACTACCTATGAACCTCCAAGTATGACAGCCAAAGGAAGACGTGCATCAGCGACTCGTGCTTAGGCGCACAGAAAGCTCCTCTGGCTTGCCTGCAACTTGCTCTGAGAGTGTGACTAAAGTGGCTAGTTCTTATCACTAAGCATCACTCTGAACTCCGAGCCCCCACCGCCCGAAACTCAATCCCACGCGCCAGACTCCAGGCGCATAGAGCCCTACGAGCTCTGCAAGCTCAAGACACAGGGGACCCCTACCCTATAGTGGGCTATATAATGGGTATATACCTAGGGGTCCTAATCACCGCGCTTCTCAATGAACCTCAAAACATCTTGCGACCTTCTGCCGGGGCGGCGCTTGCTTTTAGGTTGAAGTTTATAGGTCCCGTATAAGCCCCCTTACAATGAAGCCGAATAAGGTAGGGATATCCCGAAAATGCTTATGCTTGCGTAGCTCCTTTTTGGGTCTCTGAGTCTAGTTAGCTCCTATTCCACAGTGCTGCCGTGAAATGAAGAGGCGATTAGCCCCTCGAACGGTTCTGTCACCCCGAGTCCTTGTGGACGTACTCAAATCGGAGCAGGTTGTGGGGGATTATATGCTGTAGCGACGCAGGAAGTACCAATATACTACAGCCTAGGCTTCTTTCCGCAAACTCAAAACTCAAAACACTACTCTCGACGAAGAGCCATGAACCTTAAACCCCTGAAGCCCCAAACCCTGCTCCCGACTGCTGCCAAGCACAACTTCCTGGGGCAAAGACCGGCTCCAGGGTGTTGTTGCACTCGCCTACAAAGTAGATCGAATACCTTTCAACCTGGCCCAGTTCCAGGGTTCTCGGTCTGCATAAGATCGCTCTGGATCCGGGACCAGCTGTCGTATGCAGGTTGGGGCTAAATACATCGACGGTGCAATGATAAGCGATCGGACTTCTGAACTAGCGCAAGTCTCCACATGGCGAGATTTCGGCGGGAGCATGCAAGCTACTCAAATCCTGAGGCAGGTTGCGCCTCAAAAGCCCCCGAACTGCAAATCACAATCTCTTCGAAACTAGTACTGTAGGCGTAGGCATTCATACGAATTGACAGCAACAGCCCAGTCTAGCCAAAGGAAATGCGGCAGGAGTAGCAGTAGTAGTAGTAGTAGTGGTGGTGGTGGTGGTGGTGGTGGTGGTGGTAGTGGTGGTAGTGGTGGTAGTGGTAGTAGTGGTAGTAGTGGTAGTAGTGGTAGTAGTGGTAGTAGTGGTAGTAGTGGTAGTGGTAGTGGCAGCAGTAGTAGTCGTAGTCGTGGCAGTGGCAGTAGAGTAGCAGCAGTATTCGTGTTGGTGGTGGTGGTGGTGGTGGTGGTGGTGGTAGTAGTAATAGTAGTAGTAGTAGTAGTAGTAGTAGTAGTAGTAGTAGTAGTAGTAGTAGTAGTAGTACCAGTAGTACTAGCGGCAATCAATAGGTATAGTATGAAAGATAATCACACAAACAACAAGAGCACTAGCAATAACAATAGCTGCAGTAATGGTCATAGCAGTAATCATACCGTTTGTCAAAAGCTAATACCAATAATACACAGAAGAGTATTATAATCATAATCATCACAACAGCAAAATTACGGTGATAGTCCCAGTGCTTGCGCTAATACCATTTCTTGCAGCAGCGGTCGTGGCAGTGGTCATAGTCGTACCGGTAGCAAGAATCTTTGGTCACAAGGAGCGTCATCCGATAGACAAACCCAGCCTAAACCCTGTGCCCCATACCCGAAGCCGAGACATGCCTCATCCTCGTAGATGACACCTTTTCCAGTGAATCGCAGACGAACGTCGTTGTTCAGGGCGTTGCGGCCCTGCAAACGAGTTCGATGCCTTAGGGCCTTAACTAAAATAGGACCTGTAGAGCCTTCAGATCCCTGTCCCCAAAAACCTAAACCCCTTAACCTCTGAGACCCTAACCGAATCACAAGACCCGAAAATCCTCAATCTGTAGGCTGCTGCAGCGTACATGTGTACAGTAAAGAATCGACAGGATCACAGCGATCGGGGTGGAGCAGCGAGAGAGAGAGAGAGAGAGAGAGAGAGAAGGAGAAAGAGACAGAGATAGAGCGAGAGAGACACACCGACATTCACACTCGCACACACAAAACAACAAGTGAAGAGCCCCCCCCCCCCCTACAGCGTCGTGGTCTGATTTGTGCAGGCCAGTGCTCCTTACATATTTTCACTGCCCTCTCATTTTACAGCTTCTGCAGTTCTCCTTGATATCTTTTCTGTTGCCACTCCATCGTTGTCAGAGACAGTTGCACCCCTGTGGCTATTGACGCCACTCGTCTTGCGGTTCTTCTCTTCTGTCCTCTGGTGTTGCTACTAACTAAAGGGAACTCCAGAAAGTTGGAATATGGTTTCAGGGTAGGATACCTTATAATTTACCATACAGGGTTTAGGATAAACATATTCCAACTTTCTGGCTTTTACTTTAGTCACTAGTTGTTGTATTGCTCTACTCGCCAACGGATTAACTCTTTCAGCCCCTAAGGCCGAAACCCTAAACCCTAGAGCCTAAACCCTAAAGCCTAAACCCTAAAGCCTAAACCCTAAACCCCAGGCCCTAACCCCCAAAGCCTAAGCCTAAACCCGAAACCCTAAAGCCTAAACACTAGACTCTCTAAATCTCCAGGATGACAGGACCGGTGGAGGCGAAGCTGCCACGCTTAAACCCAATGCGGCTTTGGCGGTCTGAATCACTAATTCGAATATGGGAGTTTCCCAAAATTCGGGCTCCTTTAAAGGGATCTATGAGGGTTCCATAAAGAGTTGAGGGTTTAGAGTTTCCGAAAATTAGGGGTACCAAATTTTGGGGTCCTTATAATAAGGATCCTACTATTTAGGGTACAAAATTGGGGTCCCCCCGATTTTCGGAAACTCCCATATCAGGGTTTAGGCCTATTGAGGTCATGAAGGCCAGGGTTTAGGCCTATTGAGGTCATGAAGGCCCATACTCAAGCCGATGCCCTCTTCATCCCTCCACCCCAAAGAGCTTCTCCATCCGCTCTCTGGCACTTTTCTCTGCGAGCTGCCAGTCAAAGTCAACTCCAATCAAATTCCGTGAGTCATGGGCCTCAAAAGGTGGGATGATGCTAGGTTTGAATTAGGATCCCTTACATAAGGGCTCTTTTTGGAGGACTTCCCTTCCTCCCACCCTAAGGCCCTATGAATCGGGCAGGCTTATCGGAGCATGTTGCCGCACAGAAGGGAGCAGGAGTGTGGAGGCAATCCTCGACACTCCTGGCCTTTCTGCAGACGGCCGGGGAAGCAAAAACCCAACAGGCGGCCGGGGGGAGGAAGCCTCTGCAAAGGGACTCTGAAACTCTCAGCTATCACGTGAAGCTCTTTATTTTTCGGTGTGTTTGGAGACGTCTCGGTTTGGATTCTGGATTTAGGGTTCAAGGTGAAGGGAAAAGAAGGGGGTTTGTAGGGCGTGGTCGGGGGTCGTGAGCTGCACTCCTCTCACGCAAGCATCAGACAGCCTTCTGCGGGGTCTGGATGACCCTAACATAGTACCCTAAACAGTAGGATCCTTAATGGAAGGACCCCAAAATCGGGTAACCAGTTTTCGGAAACTCCCTTGTGTATTTTGAAGGGTGCCCTGAATCCGAATCTCTGAATCCAGCCTCTTGGCATTCTCGATTCGTGTCGGTGCCGGGTGGGGTTCAGGGTTCATGAGCTGAATCCCAAGCAGGTGGATCCACAAGATTCTGACACAATATAACAGCATCAATAGTAAGAATAGGTTTGGGGTATGATATAAGGCTATATGGGCTATGACGATATTGGGACATTGCATAGAGCCTCCAGACCCGCTGCAACCCTCTTTCACTCAAGGGTCCCTTGGAGGTACCCCGTGCACGCCGTTGTACATAGTGTCTGGCGAATACAGAGCCTCAAAGTAGGCTTTCGATGTAGGCCAGAGACACACGTTTTATTTCAGCCATTTCTCTCACACTGATTGCGAGACTTGCTGAGACAGTGCACAGCATCTCCCACGTGGGAAAATCTCATCGGAGCAACTTCGGATAGCTTACGCGGATTGGGATCCTTGCCAACACGAGCCCTGACAAGGGCCCTCAGCTTTTGAGACGTTCCCGTTTCTCCTTTCGGAGCGATTTCTGTTCAGGAATTGAAAACGTCGCCGACTGCTTCGCATGCAAACCACAGCCCTTGACGGTTGAGGGGTTTTGGGCTGCCCTTGACTCGCATCCTAATAAACCCTAAACCTCTGTTTCGACTTTGGGGGAGGATCTAGGGCTGCGCGATCGAAACGGTTTCGGTCTTTCCAAACTCTTCGACTTTGACGCGGTGCAAAGAATCTTCAGTCGGTGAACAACTTTGCTTTGCCCTGGCATCTACGCGAGCTGCATGGGGGCATATTGCTCTAGGGCCTCGATGTGGCCTTTCTACCAGGGTCGCACATGCGCGAAGGATGACCATGAGTCGTGGACAAGTTCGGGGTCCTGGGTGGCAGGACATAGTCAAAAGCCTGATAAGGCCCCACATGAACTAACGTGTAAATTACTTCTGAACTCGTGTGTTGTACCAAAAAAACATCACAAGATCCCCCCAGCCATGGCGGCTTCCGTGCTTGGCAAAAGCATGACAGAGAACATCCTCACCCCGTGACCTCACGACCCTCGCTCGCCCCCAAACCAGAGAAGGAAACCCTGACTTTCTGAAGACATGGCAGCCTGGTAAAGCACCGTCACCTACTTGGCTGAGCCTCATACTACTACTACTACTACTACTACTACTACTACTACTACTACTACTACTACTACTGCTAGTACTACTACTACTACTACTACTACTACTACTACTACTACTACTACTACTACTACTACTACTACTACTACTACTTAGATTTCTACTTCTACATCTACTTCTACTACTTCTACTACTTCCACTACTACTGCTACTACTGCTACTACTGCTACTATTGCTACTACTGCTACTACTGCTACTACTGCTACTACTGCTACAACTGCTACTACTGCTACTACTGCTACTACTGCTACTGCTGCTACTGCTGCTCCTACTGCTCCTACTGCTCCTACTACTACTACTACTACTACTACTACTACTACTACTACTGCCTGCCTGCCTACCTACCTACCTAGACTCCTACTCCTACTGCCAAGCTACATACAGATACTGCTGCATTCCCACTGTTGCATCTGCTGCCTCTGCAGCTACGTCTACCGCTAGTACGACGACACGGCCATTTCATCCTGAAGCCACAAAGCTGTTGCACGCCTCGACTCTAGCTACCCTCCCAGTGCGCGAACTAGCCACTTCACTTTCCATCTCGGCCGTCCTTCCGGAAAAAGTCTAAAAGCGGTGGGCCAGCGCAGTTGTCGGCAAAGACTTCGAGCTTGGTAGCACTTCGGTGGTACCTAACCCCAGACTGATGGAACCACTAGCCATACAGCGCTGCTATTCCGAAATCGACGCTTTTCGGTTGCTGCGGTCGAATGGTTAGAACGATAGAAGCAGAGGAAGGTTCATCATGGTAATTACGATAGTACTTGGAGGTTCGTGGGCATTTATAAGTAGGGTAACTCATATTAGGGGACTTATAACCCCACTTATAACTACCCCTGAACATCCAAGTAGTGCGGAGGGCTGGATGTACGGCAATGGCTATCATCGGTAATACTTGAACTGACGGCAGACTGCATGCTGCAACTTCCTCTTAGTGTCTCGACTACCTGTGCTGGTACCAAACAACACTACGACGGGACCCACCACCATTGCCAGTATCTTGAAGTCTTTATGTCAGGTCGAGAACCTGAGCCGAGGATGACTTCTCAATCGTAAGATTTCAGCTCCAAGCGAGCAATGCTCTTAGAAAAAACCATACGTCAAACGCTCAACCGGAAACTACAAGCTTTAAGCCTTGAGCCCTCAGCCCCAAGCCCCTCACGCGCCTACACCCCAAACCCTCAACCGTCAACCTTCAAGAACTGAAAATACTGAGGGGAATACCGAGCATTCCCTGGCCGTCCTTTAGGCATTTGGGTCAGAGTGCATAAGCGTCTGAATAATTAGAATAGGCATCTTATCTTGGAGTATGTAGTAACAATGCATGAGTTTGGGTTGTTGCCCTTGTTCTTTATCGGATTCAGTGTAGCAAGTCGGTGGAATCGATCGCGGGCCAAGTTCTCTAAGTTCGGGGTTGTTTATGCGTGCTGAACCCCAAACCCGCCGTGTTTTGGGGACCTAAAAAGCCCTGATTCCACGAACTACTAAATCAAGAAACTACTGCCTTCGAATACCCGCAAGCCTTATAAACCCTGAGCCCTGCCCTCACACTTGAAGCCACAACGACCGTGAAACCTAGGCCCTGAAACCCCTATAAACCCTGAAACCTAAAGCCCGCATGAACCCTAAACAGTTTCAAGAAGCCTTAGAGCAAGCTTCTGAAAACTCCTTGAAGGAACACTACGTCTTCTTTTGAGGCTTTCGCCCGTGTGGGTGATCCCAGCTCGACCCTGCCACTGCGTGTCATCCAAGCCGTTTTTGGAAGAAAGTTCTGCCGCAAGCAAAAGAGAAGAATCTAGGGTTTGGGGTTTAGCATCTAGATTTAGGGTGAAGGTGTTACCGACCCAAGAACACTACACCCTCACAATCAGCATGTGCCCTTGGGGCTTAGGGTAGCAGCGATCAGGTTTTGAGGTCTACTTTCTTTGATTAGGTAAGTTTGGTGAACAACTGTCAGAACTGATGACTGTGTAAGGCCAACGGCAAGCAGCAAGAGCAACAGCTGTGGTAAGATAGTAGTCAGGCCACCCTTTCA